TGTACATAAGAAAAAGATTAATATGGGACACCAAATGAAACACGGGTTCGTATGTGTCTTAAAGAAATCAAACTTAAGCTGATACCGTTCTGCTACTTTTAGGAGCTTTTTCTTTTTCCGCTTTCTTACTTCTTCTTTTCCATGATGTCTCACTAGGCATCCGTATTGATATGATATTAGCACAAATGAACCTTTATTATGACGTAAAATCAATCCTGTTCCTGAAATATAGATGATGATATAATATTATCTAATTGTACCAGTGATCTTTTAATTATCTGGGTCGTCATTAAAATTGAAGCAGATATCTTATTATTCTTTTCTTATATGTCATATAAATGCATAATAATAAGGATAGCTACATAGTCATATTAATTTCACTATATGCTGAAAAAATACAAATTTTTAATCGAATAAGAATTTTAAATTATATTTTGCACTGTGTGCAATAGCACAATTTTAAAGAAGATCATCACTCGTTCATATTAAAAGTAAAAATTCAAATATACGATACATTTATATTTATCAATTTTAGACTTTTGTTGAATTGAATATGTGATTATTTGGATCAGAGAAATTGATATAAACAAGTCATGTCACATTCTTATATTAATATTACTACATATTCATTGCAATACAAGTTCTCAATTGTTATATTAGATGCTAAATATTGATTTACTCATAAAGCAAAATAAAACGTATCAACCGTATACAGAGGAAAGAACTGCTTTTGATAGGGAGCATTGTGACATCACAATTAAACTGACGTCATCAAGTGAATCTTGACCAGGTTTTTTTTAAAAATAGCAACGCCGAGTCAATATCACAAAACACCGACTTACACGTGATTATTATTCAACCAAAGAGGATGTAGTAAACATGTGTGTTATCTAATATTAAAATATATTACCCCGATAAACACTTTGACTATTCTTTATCTATACCTACCAAGTTTTAAAATATGGTAACAAAGCTATTAATTTTAATGACAATCAACAGGATAGCATTTCATTAATGCGTCTCACACTAACTTTTTTCTGACATACCGTGCTATAATTTGTCATGTAGCGTTGACTGTTGGCCGTAGGACATAACATAGTACAACACTTCAAACTGATTATCATACTAACCAATAAATGTAAAAAGAAAATACGTCATTGCAACAACACACAATGGCACCATATACAACATCATCCTTCAACACACAATGACACAATATACAACATCATCCTTCAACACACAATGACACAATATACAACATCATCCCTCAACACACAATGACACAATATACCACAGCGTCAACGCACAAAAACAAGCAATATCACAAGGGCAATACACAAAGGCGAAATATATAGAACTGCGTTAACACAAAATGACAAAAACAACCAACTGCATCAATACACAAGGACAAAAAATATTACAGAGGCAATACACAAGAGAGAAATGTACCAAAGCGTCAGCTTAAAGGTCAAAAACAACCAACTGCATCAATACACAATGGCAAAATATACCACAGCATCCACGCACAAGGACAAAAAATATCACAGAGGCAATACACAAGGACGAAATGTACAAAAGCGTTAGCAAAAAAGGACAAAACAAACAACTGCATCAACACACAACGGGAAAATACTCCAGTGTCAACAAACGAGAACAAGATATATCACAGAGACACTAGAAATAACACAAACAATGCAAAAAGAGAAAATATGGACAATATTTATTTCCACTTCGAACTTAAACGTAGACTATAGAGTCATCATAATATTAGGAGCGACAGGAATCACTGCTTCGAAAGGTTATATGATATGCAATCTGTCATGTATTCACTTATTATAAGGGTACAGTAAAACATCATCACAATATCAAGTTGTAATTCTGAGAATTTTTCGTATCAAAGCTTCTAGCTAGGTTTATTAAAAAAAAAATCGGGAGATTACTTAAATAATTCTAGTCAATCGAGCAAAACAAACCTAACTACATATTGATTGATAAAATTTAAATACGGGAAAACTGGTATCCTTTTAAAGGAACCATTAAAGTGTGTTTTTTCTTAGTTGAGGTTTCTCAAGTCGTATTAATTATCCGACATATTTATAGCACCAATGTAATATACCTAGAATGTAAAAGCATAGCAGTTTTATAATTTGTCTTCAGTTCACACATGTTTAACTTTCGAGTTGGCTTTTGAAATAACGGAAGTTTAAAACATCTACCGTGTTTTGATATAGCAATGTACATATATCAGGAATATGTCAAAACATGATTCTGATTTGATTTTATATTTTCCTGTTATGTATTGATTTGAGCAGCAACACTTCCCTGCGTTGATAAAGATATATGCGACATAATCTTTAGCATAATGAAGGAATACAAATATGGCAAGATTATAATCAGCTGAACGATTATACAAAAATGCCTTAAATATCTTAAGATGTTCACCTTTTTTCTTCTAAAATTACATCATATCAATCTGGAGTGAAGAAATTNATATCCACAGAATAACTCGAACAGTACTTATTAATTGATATACAGGTGGTTTTTTAAAAAAAAAAAATGTTATCATTATCTTTCTGCGTCTTATATATAATATACATTTGCCATAATTAAGTGCATACATTGTATTTCAATACAAGTTCAATTGTTTTGCTTCCTTTATTTTATAAATAATTATCATTATATAAAAAGAAAATAGGATATCGATTATTTTCATGGTCATATTGACGATGTAAAGTACTGGTATTTGCTTTGATCTAATCTTCTTACAAATATCTCATTTTTGCTATATCAAAGAGTTTATTTGTACCTGAGAAAGTGGTGAATAGTGAGTGGTGTATGGGATGGAATGTTCAACAACACAAGGACATAACACTGTGTGTTAAGCCATTGTCCTCCCATTACTACACCTACCACGACAGTAGTCTATTTCAGAATGTTACTCCCTTCAAATACGAGCAACAACAAAAGTTGGGCACGAAAATCCTGTAAGCATGTCTCGGTGAGAACGTTAATAATAATAAACAAATAAACATCTTGACTATCATTTAACTAATAAACCTGTGTCTACCCGACGGTTCTATGAAGATGAACGTGTTAGTGGGGACATATACTAGTGGAAAGTACAGTTCGCACCTGTGTATTGACTTTTATATTTAAATGGCTTAAGTAGTTTCTACTAGACAAGAAAACATTATGTTAATTCTTTATCTCCTGTGAGGCAATAAATAGCCAAATATTTGTGAGAGCATATTTTGGATAGGGTGCTGGGAGGTAAGTGATAAATGGTATATATGGTATGCTTAGCTATCCCTGTATGAAATACCACTTCAACAAAGCCTAAAGCTGTGTATCGCCTATCCGACTGATAACCTTGTGCCACCGCGGACTCTTGAGGACTCCAACCTATCCCGGCCGGGTCACTTTATAAATAACTACCGGTACGACCACTTTAACGCTAATACTTGTTTTTAATTTGATGGTATTTAGACAATACCTTTTAGGGAAACACTTATGTATTATCAGAGTTTGAGTCGAGTGTAAAATTCAAAACGGAAGTGACAGGTTTTTTTATTCCAATTTTTATTTATTTTCTATTTGAAAAAGTTCGTTAGTGTGTTTTTGCCTCATATCCATCAATAAATATCTTTGATTCAGTAACATAATGTTGCATCGACATTCATTGAATGATACGACAAATAATGAAATTTACGTATAGTATTAATATATTTTATATTTCTATATTTTGTATTAACAAATAAAAATGCACTAACATAATTATCAACATTATTTTTCATCTTTAAATATCTTTCCTGTTTGCAAATATTACACGGATAAAATCACATACCAATAACAAATCAGACTAATGAACAAGGAATTTCTCATTTTCTGGCACAAAGCAACAAGTTGGGAATTTAGTAATATTATGAAACGATTATACATCAATATCATTTTGCAAAACTACAGCATGTACGCATTAACAATAACAGATTTGTCAAGTAGCAGTACTATACTTAATAAATTGATAAAAACTATTTTTTATATCAAACTTTCTTATAAAAGTTTTTAAACTATGAATCATCCGCATTTAAGGCCAATCTTTCAGGTCAAAATAAACCAAAACGGATTTACAACCGGCTTCCTACGGTAGAAAGTTTGTGTTAGTCATATCTAAAAGATAAGTAAAACCAACACTGTGTTGGTTCAATTTTAACATGTTAATACTCAATGAATACTGTGGCAGTTTTGCCCGTGTCCAAATCAAGTGTTATCGCGTGGTTCTTTCAGACTAGCTTTAAGATACAATACTACAGTGTACAGTGATTGATGGTTGTCCCCACCGCCCCGGACAAATTCTCCTATATCCAGGATCGGTAAATTTGTCGTTTGATAAGACTCAAAACTCTATTTACAAAATTACATTTCACTTACCAATAGAAAATTGCATAAAATGTTATACTTATAATATGAAGAGTGGGGAAGTAAATTTCACGAAGTTATCGAACATTTCAAAAAAATAATCTTTATGTTAATAATCATCATAGATTATTAACATTGTGTTATATTTTTAAATATTGATCACGTGATAATTGGTATGTGACAAAAATTATTTAAGCGCAGGTGAAAGTGATCGATTTCTTCATATAACAGGCTGAATTATTTGAAATCTACAACGATCAGCGTTGTTGATAATCAGTTCATGTAACAATTCGTGATCGGGGAAAAAGGTCAGACCAGGTGGGCTATACTAGGCGAGGATGGAATGTCTCTGACGGGGTACTTGTCCAAAGGTAAGTTTCATATTCGTTCGCTTTAAACATGACTTCAAGCACCTGCTCCTACAGAGTTTACATTCTTCTCACTTCCATAGCAGTTATTCGTTGAGATATACAGCGCAATGGTTTCGACAGTTCTGAAGATAACGGTAAATAACAGGTTTATCGTATGGTAGGTGCCTCTTCGGAGAATGAACCTCCACGCTAAATGTCACCGAGGAGAAGTATATGTGATCTACCCACAAGCCTCTTTATCTGTATTTCACAAGTATCATCGACAACGAACTGCTATTGACAGGTGAGTTCAAAGGTTATATAATCTAAGTGTCTCAGTAAAACGACTTGACGCTTCCTAAAGCAATAATACCTAAAACATGCTCAGTCACTATCTTGTTGGTTGAATGTCAGTTTGACCTAGTAAATGTGTCTCAAAACCGGTAAGAAGTCGTCGAGATTTTGATGGTGTGTGTAGTTTGAACGATCCACCATCCAGAGACACCATGTGGAATGATGACCCCCTCATCATGTGACCAGCATGCACTAGGGTCTGTGGCCTCATGCGAGTGACAGTGATGAATTCGTAAATAGCAATATACCGACTGTTAAGCAATATCTTTGATTATTCCAGGTCATTAATTGAAGATGGAAGGACATAACGCATACTACCCGCAGCAAATGTATACCAGGGACAGCTATGGAGTTATGGTGACTATTCCCGGAACATATCCCAACACCCAGCCTCCAGCTTGTGTCTACCAAAGGAATTCACACGATGGATCCTATGGGGGCCAGACTATGACAGTAGTAGAATCAGGGCTACATGGTGAGACCCCTAATAACATTAACCACCAACTGTCCCCTCAAGGGATGCCGGTGAATGTCCAAGGACATACCCAACAAACCAACCCTACTCCAGCCCATATGCACAATTCGCATCTAATCAGCTCACCTTCTCTTCAACCCTCTGCCAGTCTGCCTCCTCCTGCACACACCCAAACGGCCCCACCCCCTGTGTCCTCCATGTCAGGTCCCGGGGGTGACAGTTCCCCTGATTCCATCAACAATAACAACAATCAACAACAATCACAGCTTCAGTTCCCATGGATGAAAACAACGAAATCTCACGCCCATCAATGGAAAGCGCAGTGGCCAGGTAAGCCTATTTATTAATTTTTAAAAAATGAAAATACTTTTTGTCTTCACAAGTCAATTAACTTTCAATTCATATATATATATTTCTAAAATTGTAGGTAATCTGAACATTAATAATTAGAATGCGTTTAAAAAAATATCTAAATTTGTCATTCTGTTAATTTTGTCTATGGAATTACCTACCTGAATGAAACAATTGATTTTTAAGTCCAAATGGAATATTCCGAATGTACATTGAAATGACGAAAGTCCAACATTGTTTTGGTATATAGAACGACGTTTTGAAATTAAAAAGCAAACTGATAATATAAGCATCCTTCAGATCGCTTCTGAAGTACAAGTTATCAAACTTTGTTATTTCTAAGAATTCACGTTTATTTCTGTACTTCCTTGGTCTTTCGAGACAAGTCCAACAAGACACTCGCTACGTGTGCCTAGCTTATGTATAAAACACCTTATTTATACGGGGTGCCTTTCTACAAATAATAAATTATTGCAATTACGCTTTTGCAATTTTATCGTCTTCTGTAATTTATCTCGAATTGATAGCTTTCTCATCTCAAATAAAAATTTATCAGAGAATGAAAATTAGAAGGACTTGCAATTCCGGTAGCCAAGCTAAACTCACTGATACAGAAGGAGCTATCAGGGCCGACTCGTGATAAATAATGGCTTCGCTAGACGTGGAATGCTTTCATCTTGTTTCATTACCATTAATCCACATTTGAAAAATTACAGTTAACTGGCTAAGGAAGTAGAGAAGAACCGTCGATATATTGTATGTACGTTCCGTTCTGTCTGGTAGTTCACGTGTAGCGAGGAGAGTAGCGAAGATGATCAGGAAATTATTTGTTGGATTTCTTGTGTGGGTTTCCTGTTGTCAGTTGTACTGAAAGTTAGCAGTACGCTTAGTTATATATGTGATATAATTTTTAATCACGATTTATCACTTATGTTCATAAACAGGTAAGGATACCTTATAATGTGGTTTGTTTCCATTTTAAATTTTGAATTAATGTTCAGCAATCAAATATGATTAATAATATATTTGATTAGTGACGAAATTAAATTGAACCAAGGACGCTTCTCTCGTAGAGAAAAAGATAATGATAATGAATTTCCAAAGCAAAGTATAAAATGAATTAGATGAATGTTTCGCATATTATTCTCTTGAAAATTTAAATTTGTATAAGTTTCGTCATCAAAAAATATAAATTCTAAGATATTTAGTTGTTCAAATATAAATCTGTATTGATATACGAGTGAAAAACACCATAGATAATGGAATGGATTTAATAGACAATACAAATGTTGACATATTGGTTTGAAGACAAGGTCAAACGATGATGTACCAAATAGTTTATTTAATGTATTTACGTCATTACTACAGAAATAAGTTATAAGAAATAAAGTAAATAACGATGGGAACTTAAATTTAAACTGAAAACATTACAATAACTCTATTTGTATTAAACATAATGATAATAAATGAACAAATCATGTTTTCTTGGTAGTTTTAAATCCATGTAACGATTCTTAATGAAAATCGTCATATTGAGAACTGACACAAATGTAATGGATATCTGATTATATTGAACTCATTTATCTGAATGTAAAACTTTTTTTTTAAATATTTTAAATAGATGACACTTGAATAATTACTCTTAATTCGCATAGAAAACATACCGTATTTTAATGATACATTTTTATTATTTATTTCCCAACATGTTAAAATGTTCAGTAATGTTCCTTCACAAGTAAATATGTAATTAAATAGTGTACATGGGTCGATTAAACATACTGATATAGTTTATCAGGGGGAAAGTCAAATAAAACAGCGAAGATTTTATAAAACGTTATATTTGTATATGGATGGTACTTAGTTTTTGCAATCCTGTTTTAACATAATTAAGCATTCAATTTCATTGTTGGCTGAGATCAAGCATGCATATTACATATGTTAAACAATAAGATATACTCAAGCAATGGCAGTTGGTCGTGTTCATGTAGGAAATGTTTGTAATGAAAAGGCGTGTACTAGGTCTAAATAGAATAGGTCGTTTTCGTGCAGGAAATGTTAATTTATGAAAAGGCATTATAGTTCCCTTCATAAGTTGACATACTAATATATATCACGAGGTTTTTCCTTGCACATACATATACTAAAAGTATGGAATTGAAGTCGACATTCATGCCATACTTTTTATACATAGAAATGTATCATATTGTGGTTTGATGTTTAAACAAATGGTTATGTCATTTTGAACTTTATTAATGAAAGGAAATAAACATTTAAACTGAACAACCTAATTCACAATTCAGCAGATTTGAAATGTCATAAATTAATGTATAAGATGGTCACTTGGTCAATGATACCCAAACTGCTGATGTGACGTCATGCAAGATCTTACTATACGACTTCAATAACTGCTGTCGTTATGCCAATTTGCGATTTAAAAAAATAATAGTACTGATATTTGACAACAAAGCATCAAAATCAATATCATTGCAAGGTTGTCTTTCTAAATGACCAATAAACCGGTAAAGAACTTAAATATATCTCAAATGATTTTACTATCTAAATCATGTTTTACAGTTTTTACCATAATCAGATAATTTCAACAATATAAGTTATCGATTGAAATAGTGAACATTCTATTATATAGTATTAATCATATTATTTACATTGAACATAACCACCATTTTTTCTATTGGGTGTATTCTGAGGCGTATGTTTTGTATTTTATTATACACAAAATTAATAAATAGATGAGTTAGAACATGTATAATAAAAGACATCGGAAAAGGGCTATAAAAGGGTGTTCGTTTAAGTACAGTGCAATGAAATTAAATACGTTTGGAACAATTTTACCATTTATGCATATGTTATTTTAAAGTTGTAATACGTTAAGAAGAAATTAATGGTTTTGAAATCACCAAAATTATAACATATTATTACTTGAACATAGCATTGTTCAAAATGAATTTTTAAACGTGCTTTATAACAGTTTTAAATAGAATAAATTATTTAGTATCTTGATGATCTATTCATTAAGGTTTCGAAGTGAACTATATAATAACAAATACTCGTACTGGTACGTATATAAAATGCCAATACAGCACGTATATTGTAAACATGATAACAACAGTAGGTTTATCAAAAACAAGTTTATAAACAACATGTTTATAAAAGAAATAGCAAACAAATACGGTCATTGAAACGTTGTCAAAACAGTGTCAAAGCAAAAATAAAAATAAACAGTACGTTTATATAAATATGAAAACAGTGTGTTCATTGAAAACATTATCAAAATTGTGCTTCTGTTGTTTCAAAAATATATGATGAAATCAGCACTTTGATCGAAAACATGATCGAAACTGTAGGGTCGATTTGATTGCATACTGATTGAAAACCGCTTGGTTTTTGTTGTCATCGTTGTAATTTTAGTATCATAGTAGCGTTTTGGATGGTGTATCAGTGATTAATATGATGCATCAGTCTGTGAAGTAATTCATCAGTATTTTGGATAAGAGACCCGTCTCTGTGGTGATCAACTGTGAACATGATTATTAAAATGTAATCATAAAAGTTGATTGCTGGTTGTGATTGATCCATGATTCTAAACTTAATCATGATCTGTGAAGGTTGGTCAATGTTTTTGATGTTTTGTCAGTGTGTTTGAAATATAAGTCCGTAACTAATATCGTTAATTAGTGTTTGTGATAATAGATAAGTATACTTGATGATCGATTAAGGTTTCAGATCATCAATCAGTGCATATTATAGACTAATGTCTGTGATAAAAGAAACAGTAAGTGCAACTATATATCAGTGTTTTTGATATTGAGAAATTGATTTCGGGTCAGTGTCTAACTGTTTGGTGAATGGTAAATTATTTATCATTAATCAGTGATGGTATCATAAAGCAAAGCAAGTGCTGAAAAATCAGTGTTTTTATTCAAAATCTGGAATTTTTAACCATAAATCAAAGCTTGTATTAAGAAATTAGCTGTGATAACCAGACATTTGCATTTGTGATAAGAAATCTGGATCTTTATTTAGAAATCAGCTTTTGCAATCCTAAATTAGCTTCTATGATAAGCAATAATTTCTTGTAATCAGTATTCGTAATGAGATATCCAGAAATCAGTAAATGATCAGACATCAGCGTTTGCGATCAGAAATCAGTAAATGATCAGAAATCAGTAAATGTTCAGACATAAGCGTTTGTGATCAGAAATCAGGGTTAAACATCATATATCAGCGATTATTATCATAAAAACAACTGTTTGTTATCAGATTCAGTGTTTGTAACCAGAAATCAGTGTATATGAACAGACATCTCAAAGTCTGTGACCAGATTCAGTGTTTCTGGACATGAGTCTGTGTGACCATTGGTCAGTGCCTGTGGTGATAAATGACTTCCTGTAATCATAACGCCGTATTTGTGATATTTGTGACCATAAACCAGTGTTAGGAGTTATATTGCAGTTAGTCGAATGATGGGTTGGTATGTACTTTGTTTACATCTGTGTCCATGGTGATGGATTCAAGTTTGTGTGACAATCAGTGTTTAAAATGATTCATCAGACCTAATGATTACTAATTGATGTCCATCGTGATCGCTTTGAATAAGTTTTATTAGCGTTTACGATGACTGGTCATTTTATGATGACAGATCAGTTTGTAATCATTATTCAGTGTTCAGGATATTTCATTACTGCTTGTTTTAATTATCTAGCATACTTGGTGATCCATTATTGTTTGCAATGGTTGATCAATGCTTGAGAGATATTCAAAACATTATTGAAATTTATCAATATTTGTTACCATACGTTGACAGACACGCCTAAGTGAAAGTGTTTTCCCATATCTTTATGAGGTAAAAGGCGTGTCATCTCTTTTAAAATACATTTACTAGAAATTAAGTAAGGGAGCACTTTTTTAATCATTTAGCTTGTGAATGCAGAAACCAACACAATACAAGTATTTTACTCTAT